TTTCATTTTTGCCGGCGACTCATCAATGGCACTTGTGGATGAAACTGTGGATTCTGAAGGCAAGACCACGCGCGTCAAGCGCAACGTGGGCGAATACCTGAAGGAGGCAGGACCGTCACTCCTGACGGATCGCGCAGGTAGTGTTCAATACAGCCTGCATTGGGGCCGTGGCCTAGAAGCGATCATTGACGGAATAGAGGCTTGTCTTGACAACGGAAGGCGTCGCACACCGGGAGGTGTTGCCCCAGCGGTCATCGTGGTATCAGATGCCGGCAATGATGTCTACGGCAACCACGGATTCGTGGGCAACCCTTGGGTGGACACAAACGTGCTCCACCGGAATCCTGCCAAGCAGAGAGCAGCCTATGAATGGCAAGCAGAGCTGGCACAAAAACACGCCCAGCAGATGAGGCGTCTGGCGGACTTGAGGCAGAGGAAAGATGTGGCAGCTCTGATCGTCATCTGCTACTGCGACTCGCAGAGTTATGGACTGCCGGAAGAATTCGCCCGTCAAATGTGCCAGTCAGCGGATGTCTTCACTCGCCTTGGCGTCACGAATGTGACAGGCACCACCCTGGTTCGCTCGTGTCAGAGGTATGACAACTTCCACTGCCACAACACCGAAGAGAACCGGGCAATGTTTGTGAAGTTCTACGCTAACGTTGCTCTGTTTGCCTACCACTACTGGGTGCTCGCTGGCGTTGATGTATTGCGCAAAGATGCGAACCTCTTCGCGAAACCTCGTGGGGAGAAAACCAACCGCCAGTACATGCTTGAGCACATCTGGAAGCGGCGCATTGACTCCGGATACCTTTTCCTGGGTGACTTTGACGAGCACTATGAAATTGTCCCGGGACAGAAAAGGCAAACTGCCATTGACCAAAAGAATGGCTGGCTCCTGACGGTCTCTGAGACTGATGAGGTCGCCCACATGGATGATCTTGGGGACCCCGTCTATGCGACTGAGGAGCAGATTGCAGCTGCCAAGCTCTTGCCATTCAATCAGCGACTTTACAATATGCCACGGGGAACCGTTGGTCCGGATGTCTATGACGAGGGTCAGGATGTGCAAGTCGCGGCTGAACCGTCGACGGCTGATCAGCCAATGCCGGATGCAAGCGTGCCGGAAGTCATCGAGATCGACGACACCTTTGCGCCCAGCGCTGATTCGCCTCCGGGGACGGAAGGTCGAGATGCAAACAACCAGGCTCCCGTGAACACTCCGGGCATGGAGTTCGTGTCTGTCACCATTGATATGCCGAAGCACGGTGACACCGAGGTGGACCCTGTGACCATCACGGAAGAAGAGGAGCTTCATGTGTCCAATGACCCCATTGCGGATGAAAACTATGTCAATGAACTTCTCAAAGATCACCTTGACTCCGCCATCAAACAGGGATTTGAAAACAAAGATCAGCCAGATGATGACTCAGATGAAGAAATTGTTTTCAAGGAGCCGATCCTCACATCTATGCATGCTGATTCGTGTCAGGTTGCTGGTGTCACCTACCAGTTGAGAAAGAAGGAGGATGAAAGCGATGTCATTCGCATCTACATGGCAGAAGAAGACATCCCTCAGCTCACTGGTGAAGCACTCAGGAAGTTCCGTGAGGTTACAACTCTGGGGAACGAGCCCGACCTGGCCAACAAGGCACCACAACCGAGGATCCCAAAGGCGAAGGCATCAGGTGAGCCGGGGGCACCAAAAGTGCCAAGCAAGACTGTAAAGTCGAAGACTAAACCGGCATCACCGAAGGCAAAAGCACGCCCGGCGGGAGCTGAGGCCGATGTTGAGATGAAGCCAACAGAGGAAGCTCAGCCCAAAGTACCAAAACGCCCGGCGGGAGCTGTGGCCTCGGATTCGACTCCGACAGCAAAACCAGCTGTCAAAGCCAAGGCCATGCCTCGGGCACCACCGGTGCCTCCCGTTTCGTCGCCTCTTGGTGAAAATGAAGTTGTGGCATTGCAGTCAAGATCGGTTCCTGGTGCTGCCAATTTGGCGAATCTGAACTCGAAACAAGTCTGGATTTCCCGACGCGTCTCGGGATTGCTCCGTGGCTGGGAGCATAGTAAACAATCCTGGCACAAGGTGCAGCCTCCAAGCTTCGACGCTGGGCTGTGGATGGATTTTGGCAAGGTGTACTCGTTTATCAAGCGGAAGTACGATGTCAACCTTACCAACGATGACCTGCTGACGGTCATTACATCCAATCACAGATTTATGCTCGAGGTAAGGATTGCGCCAAAGGGGACTTTGGTCGGTGGAAAATACCAATATACACCTCTCCGGATCAAGGCGATTCAGAACCATAACGAGTGGTCAAGCAACAACGTGCAGGACGCACTTCCCGAGCACGAACGCTTTGTCACTCTCGATGAGGAGTATACTTCGGTAGAATACCAGGCCGGCAAATTCCCTCGGGTTCCGCGAGGTGCGCTGGGAAAGGTGAAGGAGGTGGCGCCCACCATCCTCTATCACTACACGCATCGGGCAGCACTGATTGAGATCATCAACATGGGATTGATTCCAGGCGGCAATCGGACTGGAGCCAGATTCACATTCTTGACAAAGGAAGATCCGTGGACCATTTCAGGCACCGATTATGCAGCGATGGCGGCAACTCGCCCCATCTGCGTTGCCTTGGATCTCCAAATGATGATGTTGAACGGGCACCGGCTCATTGAGACTACTGCTGGTACAATCCTATGCCCTGACTGGCTGGCAAATCGGAACGTGATTTACGTGTACGACATGGAATCCCGGTGCTACGCCTTCGCGAATCATGTGTATGCACACTATCGCGGCATCATCACCGGTGAAACCAAAGCCTTCAATTCAGCACGCACTGGGGGACCAGTTGCCGATGACGATGAGATGGTGAAAAGCCCACTGGAGAAGTACACCTACGAGGTCCTTGGAGACTATGAGAGGTGGTGCGGCAAGGTGGACACATTTTCCCCATTCGTGTACGGTGAACTGTTTGAACGCCCAGGCGTGAAAGACCAAATGGTATCGGGAAAGCAGAATCCTGATTTAGAAACATACGAGGTCACGTATGTCGTTCGCAGGCCCAATTTCAACGCCTATAGGAACCAAGTGTCGCCCAAAGAGATGCTGCCCAACTACAACCGACCGCGGTTTGATTGGCGCAAGATCCACCCCGAGGCCGAGGGTTATGGCAACACTCGACGGATGGTCGTTGAGGGCATTCAGATGCCAGAAGATCAGTGCCCAACATGCACAAATACCTATACCCATGGCATGATGTCCTGCATCACGTGCGGCACCTTCCTCAACAATGCCTCAGATCTGTGTAAAGCTGCCCAGCTCATTCGGATCGAGGAAATTGCATCCGATCTCGGTATCGAAGTCACGATGGACATGGTACCTGAGGACAGGCTGCAAGGAACAGGTGTGAGGAAGACGCCGGCGGGGACGCCTGGCCATGAAGTTCAACGTGCTTCTCGTTCGGGTATCAACATCCTGAAAGCGAACGCCAAAAGCCATGTCCAGAAGGCGGATAAAATGTCCATGACCGTATCGCAGTGACAGCTGGTTGACGCTTTCTACGCGTTCAACTGTGCGGCCCAGGACCTCTCTCCAATCTGCATTCAATTCCTGGAACGACTATCGGATGCCATCATCCCTGACCCTCCAAGGACAAGGGAAATGATTGCTCGAGGCATCGGTCATCGCTATGCTGGGAAAGTCATCTTCATGAACGAACCAGCAAAAGGGAATGATGCTGACCTGAGTGAGGACTTCTTCATTTATTGGAAGAACAGGCTGCACCGACCTGAGACTTTCGCTGCGGACTATTGTCAAAGTGCAAAACGACCCGCAATTTTGGGATTTGGAGGTGAGTGGCGAAGTGAGAAGACGGACCCTGATGATGTCTTGGATGAACTCCTGGAATTCGTGATGGGTGATGCTCAATTTGTACCTGGCTTGGATATCAACCTTGTGAAAGAAACAAGGGCACTTGTGATTCCCAAGGCCAAGGCCGCACCAGGTCCAGGTGAAAGTCTGGCAAGAGCTACACGTACTCAAGCCGAGACATCAGAGCATCGCTGGCGAGGAGCTGCCGGTAGTGATCAATACCATGATTGGCAGCAGTCATCCTCATCGTCTTCCTGGTGGTCCTCATCCAACCGCAACTGGTGGCAAGATGATCGCGGTCGTGGCAGTGACTGGCGAGGACATGACTGGTGGAGTCAGCGCAGGTGGTGAACACGACGCACAGCGGGAGCTGTTGCCTGTGGAGAAGAGAATCAAATCTACGGGTGACTTGGCTGTCTTTGTGCACTGTGCTTTCCCTCAACGCACCGCGGGAGCGGTTGCCTAGATGACCGTTTCTGTGATGCACCGGGGGACCGGATGCCTGAAACCAGCAGCTAATTCGTTTGAGTTCAGGTCGATGAACTTGGCTCTCAATCCTTGCATTGAAGAGCGCACATCTTTTGCTGTGTTTTGTCGCCACGCGGGAGCGTGTGCCTTGATGGCTTTGTTCCTGCTTTCTAAAAGGTTGGCATTGCACTCCCAGTTCCGCTGCGCAAAAGAGATTATATTTGTGAGCTTGCTTTGAACTTTCAGGCATGAATCAGTTGAGACATGTTCAACCCTAGCATCAAAGCATGACAGTGCATTATGTGATCCGTCCTTGAGGTCAACCATCCTCTCCATCTCAAGGCACGTTCCGGTTCGATGCTTCGCACGTACCGGGGGACCGGATACCTTCGTAGGTCCTTAATTAGTGCACTGTACATAACTTCACTCCTCCCATTTTCGTTCAGCGGGGGGTGTTGTTTCACGCTAGGATGTCGAATACATGTCTCACTTACCTACCGTTTGGCTCAAGGAAAACCAGGTGCGACTTGTTGGTAGTTCTCGGTCGTTTACCTGTAACTACATTTACCTTGGTGCCTGAAATCCCAGTAAATATGTGGATCTCCATTGTGTTCCACTTCTTCAAGCTCTTGAGTTCGTTCTTCCCGGAGAGGCTACCTGGTGCTGAAAGACGTTCGGCTCCGCTGCACGTTTGCTTCCACCGATTCGGGTGGGATCGAAGGCAGGGGCGATGGCAGCAGCGGCACGGCAGTGGCACAGGTCTAAAGATCTGGAAACAGCTCCGTTCGTAGCGTCCTCTTGCTCCTAGTAGTAGGGCCTGGAGCCCCGTTCGTAGCGTCCTTTACAGGTCTGCAACCGTTTGCAAGCCATTTTGTTTGGAACAAAGATATTGAACAACGTACCACATGTGACCACAGTGGAGTTGCATACCCCGGCTGTAAGCGCAACGTAAGAATAACCTTGCGTACATGTGTCGCCGTGAGCATCCGTAAGCAACACGCAGAAAAAACATAAGCCTTGCGTAAGGCCCACTGTAAGATTGGAACTCTCGGACAGAAAAGACAACACAACTTTGAACACCGCTCATATTTCCGTTGGTTTTGACAACCATTTATATATACGTTATGATATGTTATGATTTTATCTAAAACAATTTATAAGTCTAAGTGACCAAATGGTTTTTGTCCGAAGTGTTGGTGGTTGACGGTTGTTGGTCAATGATTTGGACAGGAGTCCGATTTCTGATTCACTTCACAGTTCAGTGAGAATCGAAGTGATACCCGTGCCACAGGATCCCGATTGGCTGTCCTGGACAAATACGCACATGCACCTTGGTTGCCTCAGAGTTGCAAGTAATGGGCTGCCTGAGGCCCTGATCGCTTCTATATTCAATTTGTTAACCACTTCATTGAAACAGCAACAAAAAGAACACCTAAGGATAGACCCAACCATGCACTTCACCGCACTTCACCATCCTTCACCCACCAAACGGCTCGAACAAAAAAAAAGAAACATATAAAACTCGCTTTTAAAGAAACAACAGCTCAAAATCAAAAAAGCATCAACAAAAAAAGAAGCTGAAAAGAAGGTCTCGGCCCGTGTCCAGGGCTTCGATGCGTTTCGACTCAGGTTTTGGCCGAGTACGCCGACGACGAGATCACCGGCCTCGTCGAGGTGGCCACCGCGCCGCCCCCGAGGCCCGTAGAGGAAGTGCCACGGCTCCTGCGAGGCCGGAGGAAGACCAAGGGGAAGTCGGTGCTTGGTGGGAGGAGACCCAAAGAGGTGGTTCATGGTTGTTCAAAATCCCACGTGTTTTGATGTGTGTTGTTCTTGTGTTCAAAGGTTTTGAAACGGTTTCTGGAGGTCCCCAATGTGTGTCTGGATCCCACAGTGATCCTTTCCTTTGGCACATTTGGCAAGAGTAGACAAATATGTTCATGTGCGGTTAATTGATTCACAGGTCGGTTTCGTAGGTCCTTTGTTGGCTTCTTTGTGTCCAAGGATGTCTAAAGATTTAAGAATAGTAATAATAAGACGACGACGATGATAATGATATTAAACTTATGTTATTTTCCTTCATAGCACCAAAGAAACATGTGCAGGTTAATACTGTTGTGGAGTTTCTGACGGGGTGCCAGATGGGTTTTGTTGTGCTCCGCGTGAGGCAAAACTGAGAATTCCACTGTGGAGTGGGTGACCTTTGGTTTCCCACAGCTGATCCGGAAAGAAGGCGAGGCTTTGGTGGCGGCGGGGGTCCTTTCGAGATGGTTGGGGATTGTTTAAAAGGATCTTGCTTTGTGTGGTTTCTTGAATCAATACAAGGCTCGTCCTCTTGAATCAGGGCTTTTGGTCATGAAAACTGGGACGTGGCCAGCTTCAACTACTAGTACTGCATAGGTTGAGCAAACAAGAAGCTACTAGGGGCTCATGGCCTTACTACTAGGAACAAGGACGCTACTAGGGGCTCCTGGCATCGCTACTAGGAGCAAGGACGCTACTAGGAACAAGAAGCTACTATTCTGTCAACGGATCCACCAGCACTTTTTGGTTTGAGCTATTGGCCTTCAGGCTGCTTCTTCTTCGAAGTGGAACTGATGGAGGGTTGCTTGGTCCTGGTAAGCAAGGTAATGTGATGATTTAGTTTAGGGATCTGGAAAGAGACGTCAATCAACATGCACAACAATATAGCAGCTTCTGTCTCTAGTGAATTCTTCGTCATTTTTGGGACCTGGTTCAGAACGTTCTCTGTTTCTTACCTTCAAGGTGTTCTTTCTCACTTCCTCATTGTTTCTCAGCGCTGAAGGAACGATGCAAAAAAAACAGTCAATTCCGGAGAAACAACATGGAATGCGGGGTATGTGTCCATATATGACTGCATTTCACATGCCAATGCCAGACTAGACTGTGAGTCAAACAAAGATATAACTAACATGTTGGGTTACCATATGTGGGGCTCAGGTTGCAGCCTGCCTCAAGTGGGCTTGGCGAGCGAGCAATTCCATTGCTTTCCGGGCGTGGAAAGCAACAGCGGCATCGGTGATGATGAGTACAGCTGTGGAGTGGATGGCTTGCATGGAGCATGTCTCAAGCGCCCTGGGCAAGAAAGCTGGTCGGTTTTAGGGTTTGGGTTAAAATCCGGGTTGACCATGCATTTGTGTACTACAAAGGATGGAGGTGGCTCCCGGTGATGGAAAGAATATGATAGATCCTCGTTGGCTTCTGGGCAACTCTGTGATAATCTGCTAGAATCGAGAGAGTGCCCCGGACAACATGATCATGATGTCCAAAGATATCAAACGATGTTAAGAAGAGTTGAGAACAGAGTGGGAACATGATACCATGTGCAGCTGCAAGACAAACAAGTCTTCGCCTGCAATCTCTTTCTACAGCGAAACCCACTAGGAACAAGGACGCTACTATGGGCTCCTGGCCTCGCTACTAGGAGCAAGGACGCTACTAGGGGCTCCTGGCCTTACTACTAGGAGCAAGAAGAAAAAAGGAGCAAATGGATTGTAATGTAGTATTTCAATCATTCATCACATGAGTCGTGCACCCTCCACCCTGCGCCGTCGAGAAAGCTCCTGCAAAAGCACACGCAGACGGCGCAGAGGAACGGGCCATTGTCCTCGTGGAAGGCAGATTGGCCGAAGAAAATGTCAGGCGTCCTCAATTGGGACGATGAGCGCGAGGAAGAGCTCTTGGCGAAGAAGGTCCCTTAGTGAGAGATGGTATGCGGTGCAGGGGGAAATTGATGAATAGAGAGGTGTGAAAACCCTCGAGATTTGTTGGTTATGGTTGGTTTGAAGAATTGCAACGTGGTTTTGTGGCAAGCATTTTGAAGCGCCAATGCGACTTATTCTAGGAGTCCCTTCAGGTCTAGCTCGGTTAGCTTGGTCAGGGCCAAGTGGCAACCTGGGACCCTTGACAGATGGGATTCACAAAGCAGCGTCAGAAGGTTCCAAGCAAGATTCTAAGATTGGTTGGGAAAGGTTCTCTTGCATCTTGGACTTTCAGACCGAGGGATGCATTCATTAGAGGGTCAGGGAAGAAAGGGTGAACGTTGACGAACTATTATATAAGTCACAAAATCCATGTTGAAGACTCGAGACCAGCTGCATCCACAAGAAGCAGCTGCGTCCACAAGAGCTTCAACACGTTGACCATCACCACCACTGTCATCATCGATGAGCAGCGCAAACCGCTTTGTTCCTACACGTGCCACCACCACCTTCTCTCACGCGCCAAGTGACTTGCCAAGTGCCCTTCACGACCCATCGAGCGTGCCCCACATCAGGTCGTGGTGGGTGTTCTGGTCGATTTCCAGAAGGGCCAAGTGGGATTTGTCTCGGAGGGCAACTGGGAAGATTGGAGCTTTCAGCTGGTGGATGAGGATTTGCCCTGTTCCTCGGACCTGGATGGGAGAGGAAACCGAGGTGTTGGGGCCCTTTGGGGCCCTCGGGGTAAACGTAGATGGTTTTAAACCACCGTCGCAAACTCTTCCTTACACTCTTCCGAAAGGATTTCTGCCACCACAGAGATTGGACACCACTTATATAAGTTCAATTCAACGTGCGCATTGTCTTAAGTCTTAATTGAATAAAGCGCTGGTATGCTCTGCAACATTTAAATTTTGAGTTTGAGTCAATTTACCACAGAGGTATGTGATTCATAGAACACAGCTCATAGTGAAATCGTCTTTGGTGGAGTCTGGCTGTTGCGTAAAAGGGAGCCCAGAACATTTGTAGTGGCAACGGGAAGAACTTCTACTTGCTCATGAAATCAAGGCTTCAAGATGCTGGGCTGGACAAACTTGCCAACAAATCACCAAGGCAGCCAACGCTGTCGAGACCAGAACGCAAGCTAGGCAAGTTAGGCAGTCTTCCACTCCTCACAGCCTCATGGCCTACAAACCCAAACCATCTTTGAGTGGCACTGAAAGACAATGGTACATGATCCCACCACGAGATCCCAAACGGCAGTGACCTTGAGACGTCCTGGACCGTCCTGGACCGTCCAACCTCGTCGACCGAGCTTGTGGATCCCCGAAAAAGGAATCCTTTTGGGCACCGACTCAGACGATTGAAATGTTTGGCTTCCCAGCTAGTAGATCCTGGCATTACTACAAGTAACAAGAAGCTACTACATCGCTACTAGTAGCTTCTTGTTACTAGTAGTAATGCCCGGAGCTACTAGTAGCCTTGCCCAAAAAGGCTTCCACAACGGCCTCTTTCCGGCGATCTCAGTGAAGGGCTCGGCGGCATTCCATTTCGATGGCTGGAAGTATCCACCTCCGCGGCTTGGAATCGACCGGAATTGGCCACCGGGCCCAGCGGAAGGTGCGTTTCTGCGGAGTGAAACGCACAAATTTCTGTGGTGTTGATGTTAGTGCATTCACTTGACCATCTCGACCTTGGGTTCCAGATTCCATTGTAGCTTTGCGGAAGTTCACCTCATCATCCTTTCGAATTCCCACATGGCTACCATTCCGCTACCATTCCTTAGCTCCACATTTTGCAGGACTTGGCAATACGTCTTCCCGCCCCCAGGAAAGAGCGCTTCGGAGACTGTGGTGTGTGGCCGAAGGCGGGCTTGGGACCAATCCGCATCGACTGCCCCGCTGTGGGGAACTCTGCGGTGTTAAACATCTACAAGGCGCGGTTCTCCGGGTCAGGAGGGGTTGGTGATGATCTGGTGATGGAGATCGATGTTTTGGAATAGGAGTTGTGTTCCAAAATGCAAGTGCAATGGATGTGTTCTTCCAGCTGGTGAGTTGAGGGATGTTCATTTAAAGAGTCGTTCTAAAAAGCCCTGATCGAAGCAGACAGGATGGCTGGTTCGCCTGCGTTTCCAAACAAACGGGTGCAAAGGGCCTGAAACGAAAGCGCAGCTGTTCTGAGAGCGATTGTGGGAACTTCCAAATCCAAACGCAGGATGCCATGTCCCCCCTTGTTGGAGACTCTACCTGTTCAGGTTTCAGCTGCTTTATAAGCGCGACCTCACTTGGGTGGGTTTAAGTTTCAAGAGGGTCACATATCACATACCTGAACAATACCTAGTACTGTTGAGAGACAAGGCCCGGCCTTGCACCAGCTGGAAACTATGAGATCTGATCTGCCTCTTTTGTAGTAGGACTGACACTGACTGGTATTTCAGCTATTTCCGCGGGTTTGCGTCCACAAAAACTTGCAACCAAGCCTTTGTCTTGCCAGGAAGCCCAGATCCATGGGGAAGTTTGTCTCAAGCGACATGTTCTGCGACTGGTGGCTTGATGAATTGGTATGACAATGTATGACATGACTGGGAACTGCACACCCTAATCAACCACCGAACCGACCAGTGAACCAGAATTCACACCAAACACTTGGAGTTGACAGCAGTCCCGTAGCGGTTCCGTAGTGATCCAAGACTTTCATTGCTCTAGAGTCTCTAGAGTGTTCGCCGGCGCGAGTCGCAGGCAATGGGGTGAAGGAACGCCCACGACTTCAGAAAGAGTTGCAATGGGTTTTGATGCAGAGCAAAGCGAATCATGGTAGCTCTGATTCTTGTGTGGTAGTGATGAAGTCCAAGTATATTCAATCACATTTGCCTCATGAATTGCCAGCTTCCTCTCCCTTGACAAACAAGCATAGCCGTCCCATCAGGTATCAACTCCCCTTTGCCAACATCGGTCCTCCTCTCAACCCTGCACTGACTCACCCACCGCTCACCTCTCTTTGCTAACCCGCCATTGGACTCAGGTGGCCAATAGCAAGTACCGCAAGAAGAGTCGTAGCTGGACGATCAAGGTGCAACTCTCGTTGCAGCACATGGCTTGTTGACGGGAGTGCCGGAAGCGGGTCCGCAAACAGGCAAAACACATGCAAGGAGGTCACCCATATGTTCTTCATATTGACCGGTTACACAATGTGGACATAGTAAGGACATGTAGCGACCAAGAGCAAATGGTGTTGTACAGACATTTGGTATGATCGCAGAGATTCTATAGATGATGGGCTGTTGACGGCAGAAGTGGGCTGATGCCAAGCTAGCAGAGGAAGTCTGAATAGAGGGGTTGCATGGTACTGAGGTTGGGTGCTTTGTAGATAGACGGAGATGTCAGCAGGTTCAACATTGATTGTAGAAGGAGACATGGTGAAACAGTATGTAGATGTGTGTTTTAGATTCTAGATAATGAATAAACCTGTGTTAAACTTAAGTTGAGTTCATATGATCACACCGTGTACCGTAGGGATGGTCAAGATCCGTCGCAGTGCCGTTCTTTCTCGCGTGAAAACAGGTGACCGGTGCAGGGGCCCGGTGCAACGGCACTTATGTGTGGTCTGGGCGGCACAATAAGCGGTCCTTCTACAAAGAGAAATCAGGTGCCTAACACAGTTGGGATGGTGGTGGGAGTTCATGAAGATGGCTCATGTCTGATGGATGTTGTTCAATTTTTGTTTGGAGGTTGGCAAGCAAGACTTTGGTTCAGTAGAGGCAAGTGCAGAAGACCCAGTCGACCCACAGATGAGATTTGGACACCCGGTGCATGTTTGTCATTCCGGACCGTGAGCTCTTGCAGGTCTAGTCCATCTACGACGTATCTACGTGTACACAATGTTTCACCAGAAGCGTTTTGTCGAGTCTAGCTATTCTTATGTAAAGTGCTGCTTCTGCTTGGTTGGGGCTTGGCTTTCAATTGACTCAGCCGCCGTGGTGGTTTCTGATTTTTGTGTTTTGACTTTAATCAGTTGTTTTGTCCATCTTCTTAGAGCTGTAAGTGAAACTATCAGCCTTGCGAAACCATGAATCATGAAGCTGCGCCTGCCATCCACCAAACAAGACTCAAGACTGTTTCTACAAGGTGCCATCATCTACTACAACCAGCAGGACTCCTCAAGAGAGTCAAAGAGGGGCCTATTGAGATTTTGACTATATATGTCTCCGTAGTTGTGCAGGATGGTGTCAATCAAACATGCTTGGATGAATACAGATATGTAACACACAAGTGCGCCTCTAAAACCACCAAAGAGATGAAACAGGAAGGACAGTGGAAGAACATGGAAGAACTGCTTTCCAAGTGCAGCCAGCTGTCCCACAACCATCTTGGCATTCGAGACGAGAAAGCCAGTATTTCTCCATTTACTGGTACCTTCGTTGTTTGAGACTTCCAAGTCCACATTGACATGGAGATAGATCTATGAATCACCAT